GTTATTTAAATGAAATATCAAAGAAAAATCATAACACCTCGAGTTACCTTTAGACAGCGCATTTGACAACGTTCTTGACCATAATATTTTTAAATTCAAAGCTGCAATCAAACAAAGCTTAATGAACAATTCAATTAAATGTCAGCCTAATTTTAATTGTTATAGTATGTTATGACCTATTGCTATTATAAAAGAGTAATATAATATAATATATAATATTTAATATCTGTGAGTTTTAACCACGATTGGAGGCATAGGAAGCGCAACAAATAGTGATTAATTGATAAGCCGGCCGCTGAAGCAAATTAAAATTTTAATAGTATGGTTGCAGTACGATGAATTATTCAAGACATTTATGACCCTCGATTAATTTATGTTTTCCCGAAATCAGTCGGTTTTACCTAAGATTCAGAAGCGCGGTCTATCAGTTTGTTAATAAAACCTTAATGTTTTAACTAGTGATGGGCCGATACTAGAACCGATACTAGATCGGTGATATCGGTTTTATCGGTATCGGTTTTTTTTCAAAACCGATATTTCAACTGATATCAAAAAAAAAAACCTATCGATCAGCATAGTATTGATAGTATCATAATTCACAAATGCACAGGCATGAAGACTAGAGATCTAGAGATCTCTAGTCTTCATGTGCACAGGTTAGGTTATCAATAATCAAATACTATAGATTATAATTGACAGGACTGTCGTTGTTATCACATTACAATAACCACAATACAATAGATAACAATACTATATCTAGTCGTAGTGTCGAAAAACGAGATACGAGATTACAAAATATTAAATAGTGAATACTAGTCTGTCTAGTCTACTGTTTATTTAGTATTTATATTAATTATTATTAAATTTAATAATTATTTTTATTTACTATTTTTATATAATACCTAGCGTAGTAGTTAGTAAAAATAAACTAACATGTGATAACTCTTAAATAATAATTATCAATTTATTACTATTAATAAATAATAATCAATGTTTTCATTTTTCTAGGTAATATTATTTGTGTTATCGGGTATCGGTTTTTTATTCACAGATATATATAGAATAAACTAGATTGCTAACTGTGATAAGACTTGAAGTCACCATCCGCCATTTAAAAAGAGGCCAATGGGTCTTATCACACGTATTTAATATTGATAATAAATAAATTTATTTTGGCGCTAAAATCATATTTTGTTTTGTTTTTTTTTTGTTTTTCACTTTCTACAACTTTGACAATTTTGTGAATTAATTTATTTTAATTATGCCTTACAAATGTTGTGCCTATGGTTGCAATAATCGAGATGGTCTTGGAAAAAACATAAAGTTATTCCCGGTATAATGTGTAAAATTATTTATTATACCTATTACCTATCCCTTATTTGCCCTAAAATTATGTGTTCAAGATTTCCTGATGACGACAATAGGAAAAAAGAATGGTTGGATCTTGTTCATCTGACTTATTTTCAAGACCTCATAAAATAGAAATAATAAATCACATAACAAGAACATACCTCAATATACGGTTGCATGCTTATAGCAAAATCATGACGTCTTCCATTTTAAAAACAATTAGTAAGAGGCAAAAGCTAACAAAGACTGTTTTATTTTATAATATGTGACTTTTGAAGTTTTGAATATAATATATTATACCTACAATTCTTGTAATACTTTTTATTGTTTTATTAATTATTATTATTGTATTGGAATACTGAATTTAATTAATAATATCATTATGTTAAAGTGTTTTAGTGTTAAACTATATTTTGGTTAGATCTTAGACGTTAAATTATGATTATAGCTTATTAATTTATTATTTTCAATTTTAGAAAATGATAATTATTATTACAAAATAAAAATCAGTACGACTCTACGTATTACGTTATCTTTTAAACACAAGTGATAACGAACATTGGCCTCGTTTAAAATGGCGGCCGATGACTTCAACCAATTACACAGACGCTGTATCACAGTTAGCAATCTAGTTTATTCTATATATCTGTGGTTTTATTATATATCGGTTGATGGTATCGGTTTTATGGTGGTATCGGCTCATGTTTTTTTTGTCAAAAATGTTGTTTTAACATTTCCATATATTATCGGGTATCGGTTATATATCGGCAGCATATATCGGATATCGTAATAAGTGGTATCGGCCCTTTCCTAGTTTTAACAATTGCAAACGGATAGTTTTTAAGGGGTTCGAAATAGGCAATTTCAAAAAAGTTTGTATGGGCTTTATAAAAGTGTGCGTAGTCCTGACGGTCATTGACACGGTTAGTAGGGAGCTTTTCAGTAGGTGTATCTCAAACTATAGAGCGTTTTACAACAAATGTCCTTCGATACCAACGCGCCGGTTGGCGGTTTTTAATCAGACCAGTGGTTCGCAATTTAGACTGGTAAATAGAACGCGTATTCAATTTTAAACTTCCCACCATATTTACGTACTAGTTAAGTAATCCTTGACGAAAATCCACCATCCGGCGCGTTGGTGTCGAGGGCATTTGTTGTGAAACGCACTATGGTCACGAGTGTTTCAACCATAGATACATACAACAACGTTGTTGCATGTATCTATGGTTTCAACTCTCGTCCGAGCGGTGCGCCTCACCGAGTGATTTATCATAAATTCATAAATGTATAGAATAAACGACTTCGACTGACGATGACAATATTAATAGGCTAGTGTGATATGGAAATTATAAAATATTCTAATACAGTTGGACATTGACTAATTAGTGATTAACGGCTCTATTTGTTATTCGGCAGGTACTAACATCCAAATACGGAGAACCTCTAGTTCTTGTTAGCGCGCCGCTGCTGCCCGAGAAAAATTCGGGAATAGTAACGTACCAACTCGTATCGAAGTCTGAGTCCGATACGTGTGGCATATAGCTTGCATATTGCATGTGTAACTTCTTGAACGCTCAAAATTGACCCGACAAGCATCGATACACTCCAATTTGTTCCTTGAAAATCTTGACTGTAACTGATGTGACTGACGACTAAGTTTAATTAACTAATAAGTTAATATTATGTCTAATGTCTATGGTTCTTACGCTGATTCTCTGCAATCATGTAATGCGCTCTAGTGATATATTATTGAAACTAACAATATTTTTTTATTGATTTTTAATTATTTTACTCCAAAACGCAATACCAAAGTCCTAGATATGATAATAATATTATCATGTCTATGTAATGGACCACGGTCTTAGGAGATACTTATTCTGATATTTACTGTGTAGTGAGTGTTCTTCACTTAGATCATATGCAGTATATATGGGCCTATAGAATACTTTTAAATTTATAATATCGATGATGTCATGATAAAGACGAGTCATCACTCATCAGTGTTAATATGTCGCCTCTACTGCGAATGCGTTAGAAATTTGTAGCATATTTATCTTTATCTATTTGTTCTTAGTTCATATCTAAGTATGCGACAAGTCTTTTATTCATGTGTAATTTAGGCTACATAACAACTGGCTCCAAATACTACGTAATACATTATACGTAATACATTATACGTATTATAATATATAATATATATATTATCCAGCCGTCACTAGGTAGCGTCGATATAGTCGTGAGTGAGCACAATTATAGTAGGGAAATCATGTAGTAGAATTCGACACTACAATTTTCAATTTCATAAAAATAAAAGTTATAAATATTACCTAAGTATTAAGTTTTGTTTCTACATTTCTTTGTTTCTACTTTATTTTATTTAATTTATATCGTTTCATTTTCATGATTCATATACTCACCTAGAAGCTAGGTATTGTTGAATTATCAATATTCTTTACTCTAGAATAAATAAATGTTTTATATATTTCAAAACAGGTTTTTAGTACAATTTTTTTTAAATGATGACAAGTTTATTGTAGTGATTAGTTTTTTATTGACATTGAAACAAAATTATTTTAGTTAAGAGTGATCTCAATCTTTTTTGGGGTTGACATAATTGATTATTATAAAGTATGAGTGTTTAAACAAAATAATTAGTTATTGATATTTATTTCACACATGGTATTTATTGTTAAAAATCTATCGGGTTTCCTAATTGTTTAGAGACTTTGTTACTTCTAGACACAAATATTTTTTCACTTATCTTACAAATTGTTATAACGTCAGCTGATGATTTTATATCTACGAGTATACATTGTTTAGTTTTATCTTCAAGAGAAACACAAAAGATGAGACAATTAATGATTTTAATTTTTTTATTGGAACAAAAATCTTGGGTGACTATGGCCATTGAACTAACGCTATGGAACATTATTTTATATTATTATACACTATTTTAGGTGCATTATTTAACATTATTCAAATAATCAGTATGTTAGATATAATATTAAATTTTGTATCTTGTTAGACTTCATAATGTTCTTCATTATTATCACCAGCAAAACATTGTTCTTCTTCTACGTATAGAATACCCAGAAAATTGTCTTTATAATTTTTTTACCACTAGAAATAAAGTACAATACAGGTTAAATCTTGTGGGGCACAATTAGTATTTTCAGAAACTGACAATAATTCAGTGTGAACCAGTAAACGCACACTAAATTAGGACTTTTTGTTTTATTTCATTTACCTTCATTGTAATGGCATTTAATGATTCTTGAGTAATTCTTAGAGACCCATCAATTCTAGAATACTGCTAATGTGATGAGAGATGAGACAAACATTAATTAAATGTTTTTCTCTCATAAATGTATGTAGCAGGTGAATAAAAGTGCAACATGAGAGTAAAAGGCTGCAATTCTTGGGTCACTGTGTTTCTTGAAAATGTATGCAACTGATTCATCACCATTTCATGTAGACTACTTGATAGAATTTCCCAAATATTAAGAAAGCACTGATAAATACAAGCCTATTTATTTTATTAAATCACTACTATAATACATTCCTTCAGAGTTGTATAACAATTATCAGACATAATTTTTTTTATATTATATAATATGCTACTTATAAATTCATAAAACTTACTTATTAACAAATATATCTGATGATGATTTTTCTGTACTAAATTTTATTTCTACCATATTCTGTGTAGTAACTGCAGAAACTATAACTATGTCTGGTGCCTCTGTTATACCTTAGACCATAATTTAACTATAGGTACTTGGTATTGAATTTTAAGTAATAATAATATTATTTACCTTACTTGACATTGAATATTTTAACGATTTAGAAAGTTCAGCAGATGCACCTGATGATGACTTTTCTGTACATTATTTTATTTCTACTATATTATGTTTAGTGGCTGCATTTGAAACTATAACTGTGTCTAGCGCCTCTGTTATACCTAAAAACAAAATTTAGCTGTAGATACTGAGTATTCAAATTTAAGTAAAAACAATTATTATCTTACTTGATATTGAACATTCTAACTTTCTAATGGTTCAGCATATAAATCTGATGTTGACAATGTCACAACTTCTTCCTTTGCATTTTAATCAGAAACAGTAATTGACTCACAAAATAATGATCCACATGCAGCTAAAATATTTAAATATTTTTTAATATTCAGTTCTTATGATATACTTAAATTATTTTGTATTACATTTTCAAATCTTAGATATACAAAGAAAAATTGTTAACTATATGTAAATGTAATATAAAATGTTGACTATGTATTTTTGATATTTTTAAGTGGTATATGAATAACTTATGAGGAAGTTTTATTACATTTTTAAAGTTTTTTTACCAAGCAAACAATTTTTATCAACATTTAATGATCTTAAGTTATTTGGGTTTAAAATACTTGGGCCAGCATTTATTTTCAATTGTTTAGTTTTTCAACACTGGTAGCTGTAATTTTGTAGTCCAAAAATCAGAATCAAAATGTAGCCCACAGAAGGTAGGTACAAGTTGTTGTAAGCTTGAATGATGGATTACTTTTTTCAATAAATTTAATCAATATTTCTCAGGCGTACCTTTAGGAAGTCTAAACATTTAGAACAATATTGGTATAAATGCAGTTTAGTTAACCATCGCTAATTTGATTTTTTTATATCAAAACTTATGTAACTCTACGATTTAAGAACGACGGTGAAATCGGAATTTGTCGCTCGGACTTACTTTTGAAGTTATGGCCTCCCAAAGTTAGCGATTTTACGTTCATAAGTATGAGCGGAACACTGCATTAATACCGAGCAGAGGACCTCGAGTTAGGTGACGGAGCCGGTACCTAGATGAAAGGAACCACTATACTTGTGTTAGGTACCTTACCTAAAAAGGTTAAGTTTACTAGTTAGGTCATCCGTCTGTCCGAAGGGCAGCTATGCTGTCGCCCTCCCTTCCCCGCTAGATTGGCTATTTTAGCCCCGGGGGGTTGGAGGCTGAGTCCATTGAAAGGTCCTGAGGACCACGAGTTTGGTGACTGGAGCCGGCAGGCGAAGGGCCCCATTTTAATACAGTTATGTTACTTTAACAGACAAGGTCTAAATATACTCATTAGCCCAATAGCCTATTGTCTACCTGAAGATAATTGCAAAACAACTTAATATACCTAGCTTATTCTATTATCATAAAGATAGTATCGCAGTGTTGCAGCGAAAAAAGGTTTTAAGTTGGGTATTTAGTAAAATGTATGTTTTTAAAGCGATGTCGTATTTTAAAGTAAGAGCCATTACCTGACTTTTTTACACAGCCTGGGAGTTTGTAGGATCTACCAGTAATACTCGAAACTCAAAATTATGACGAAAAAACCAAGTTTGATTCAGACACTGATGACCGAAACAACATGGAATTGTTCTAAATTTTTAACTTCATTTATACATTATGTTTTAATGTATAAAATTATTATTCATGTAATATTAAGTGTGTTCTGTAATTATTTTTAATTAGGTATTTTATAAATTCTGATTGCTCCATCGTTTTGAACAGGTTAGAATACGTAACTACCAAAAAAGAAAAAAAAATATGAAAAGCAAGATAAATTATAGCTTGTTGGGTAGATAAAAAAACGAAATAAATTGCAAAATTCCAAAGGCCATAAATTCGAAACTAAGGTCGAACAACAAAATCTGATGACATGATTTATTTATTTATTTACTAATAAATAGTAAAATACCTGTGGAACTTAATTCCTTGGCCCACTTTAACGTTGTACACTATACCTGAACAACTTTTAACCATTTTGTATTTGAAAAATACAAAATTTAAGTTATTTTAAATTTAAATACAAAAAAAGTTTGAAAAACAAACGTAAACAAAAGTAGGTAGATACTAGATACGTCTACGTATTACGTAATGTCTATGTTCGGTATTTACACAATAAACCATACTTTTGTTTAACGAACAGTGTGGCCTATTTGAAAAAAACAAAATCTGGCATTTAAATTTTATTTTGAATATTGGGCACACTATATTTCTCTTCTCTCTAGCGCAGAGGTTCCCAAACTGTGGGTCGCGACCCAAAAGTGGGTCGCGATTATACTTTTGGTGGGTCGCACTATTTTTTTAAATAATACAAAAATATAATCATCTATTACTTTTCGTTGATGTTCAAAGTTCAAATTCAGTTTTATCGTCAATCCTTATCTGTGAGTATGACAATTACGAGTTTACCAGCGGCCGTGTCAAATACTATATATTATACTTATTATACATTTTTTTCGTAATTACATAAAATGTAATAAAATAGTTTAATTTTCTGTTGTATGGTAAAAAAAAAAAAGGTCATTCATTGATATTGTGGGTCGCTATATTTAAAAAAAAATTTAAAATGGGTCGCACAATAAGAAGTTTGGGAACCTCTGCTCTAGCGGGATTGCGGTACGTCTTGTCCCATGAATATTTACTATATAGAAATTCGATGGTCCAAACTGGTTCACCGATTTCCGATGCATATGTACCAATCACGAATTAAGATAATTTATAAATTTCTTAATTCGTGGTACCAATGTACCGGTTTACTAAAACTTGCTACCGATTATTTTACACCAAGTTCGATATTTGGATGAAATTTTTGTGATGGAAATCGGTATATCCCCACCACTGCTAAAATTAACAATGATAGTATAATCAATTAAATATTAGCCAACATCGATTATCTTTCCCATTTTACTTTCCCGCCTTGTCTTTGTATTATTGACTTTGGCATAAATTCACTTTAGCTACCCAGCAACTTTTTAATTTTTTTTTTTTGAAACAGATGTACTTCGACGAGTGTTAAGAACGACGGTTCCAAAAAATATTTGCGGAAACCATTATTTTGGAAGTTATAGACATCCAAAGTTTGCGATTTTACGTTTATATAATATGTTACGGGTGAAGTACAAAACGGTTAGTGTATCGTACAACTATAATCGTAAACTTATAACTTCGGTACAACATGACCAACGCATCAAACACTTAAAATGGTACAGATTATACAAAGTCTTTCTAGTAGCAAAAACCAAATTATACTAATTCAAAAAAAAATTATTTATTATTATTACTATTAAACTATAAATTATATATTTGAACAATTTTACTATTTACTTAATTAGAATTTAAAAGCGAAATACAATTATTCATTAGAACAGGGTAAATAGAAAACGTGTTTATTAAGCATTTATCGTAACGTGGGCACAAATGGGTCGGCGACAGCGACAAGTCGTCGTGAGGTTGGTTTCGCATGGTGATCGAAACGTAGGATAACTTGTGTAAGTCTCGCGGCCGTCGTTGACGGTTCGTGATCGCGGTCGCTGTTGCCAGTGCAAGTCGTCGACGTTCGGAGACGAGCGAGTCGGAGAGTCGGGGGGACTGCAGGCAAGGGAACGTGCACGGATCAGAAACGTTGAGTCCGCCGGTCGGGCGAGAAAAGAGGTCGAGTGTCGGACCGATGTCACCGATGGGCGATGGCGGTAAGTCGCGCGTCGTTGTGAGACGCGGCTTGCCGGTCGGCGTGAGGTCGAGTGCCAACTGTCGCAGGGGGGTCAACGGAAAAAAAGTATTGAGGCAAGAGTCGCCACAGAATCAAGATTTTCAAGAAGAAAAATTTGATACGTATCCGATACGTACCGCCTCGTATCGAAGTCCGAGTCCGATACGGGTCGGTACGTATCGCTTGTATACTGCACGTGTAACTAAAACTAACTTGAACGCTTAAAATTGCCTCGATACGTATCGATACACTCCAAATTCTTCCTTGAAAATCTTCTACTTTACCCACTCAATCGTAGATAATGTATAAAATACCCGAGTAAAGTACGAAATAAACGTTTTATAAATAGTATTTTTACTTTATCCAATAGGTACAGGTAGTGTACACATTACCCGGATAATGTGAACACTAACCATATTTTGTACTTTACCCATAACATATATACGTATGCGCCATGCGCGCAAGGCGGTTTTAATCATGCCGCGCGAAGTAATTTGAGTTTGGCGAGCTGGTAGTTACCCTGTGACAAACTTGAGGTGGTGTTGCACACTTGCACAGCAAGTCGGGGGATATTTTCGGTTTGCGAAGCGGAGCGACGGCGCCGAGGAGCGTAGCGACGAGTGCCGCTAGCATGGCATCACTGTACGGTGTTTTTTCAAATTGGTGGCCCACTGGGGGAGGTGTTGCATAGAAAATCGAGGGATATTTTCCTTAGCGAAAGCGTCGCTCCCCCTATACAGTAGGAAAAAACATTTTTACGCCGGATACATGGCAAAATTTTACAATACCTATCGATATGTAAATAAATGATAATGATCATAACAGAAATTTGTTTATCTTTTTTTTGTTGCACGAGGCATTATAGAAGTGTTGCGCGCATGCGTATCAACGTAAAATCGCAAACTTGGGATAGCTATAACTTCCAAAATAATGGTTTCCGCAAATTTTTTTTGGCACCATCGTTCTTAGCTCGTCGAAATACGTCTATTTCGAAACAAAAATTTTAAAAATGTGCTGGGTTGCTAAAGTAAATTTGTTCCACAACTTTGGGAACCTCTGTATTACATTTCTATTTAAATTTTAAATATTTTTTCGCCTTGTACGCGAGTTCGGTAGTTTGCAGTGTTTGCAGTTTGCACGTCGCCGTCATGGTGTTTTTATTTATTTTAGTAAAATCGCAGAATAGGTTAAATTTAATCTATTCTGTGGTAAAATGTTATCTAGAGTCTGGGCATTTCATGTTTTCATTAGAAGGTTAAAAGTCCAGCATTCGAAATATTACAACACTATTACACTGATTTCGGTGAGTACTGAGTGCTTTATTTTGTACATTGTATAAGTCACAATTTGTGACACATGTTTCTATAACTATTTCAACAACTTTATATGTGGATGTACCTATTATGATTGACAGAATTATTATGCGGTATGCACACATAATAGAGTTGCTTATGATATTGCCTCTACTGCCATAAAACATAAGAATTAATATATTTTTAAAGGTTTTTAAGTTTTATTTTATAATTTATAAATAATAATTTCTACTTATTTTACTACTAATTTGGTAATTTTTATTGTCTCTTGGTTTTTCAGCCGAGTATACTGCCTCATTCTCATTGCTATGTACATTACACATATATCAGTTAAAACTTCAGTTGTATGATCTACACACGGAAAATACAAGTTTAAATTCTAAGCACAGAAGAATTCTTCAAATGTGTTATCAAATAGATTCGCTCAGTCTGCATAATTCAGAAAACATGCTTCAAATGCTTGCATAATTTGGAACAAATTCTGATTTACTTGAGTTAAGAATCCTCTAGTTTTGAAATTGACTAAATCTGCTGCTGGATTGGATGATTTTCCTTTAGGAACTTGCAAACTGGATTTCCAAACTTCACTTTTAGTATGTTTTAATTGTCTTTTTGTTATTATATACCTATGACACATAGAAAAACAATATAGAAGATAAAAACATCTAATATTATCGAAGTCTGTGTATGGTCATTAGGCCATGAAACTTGTTGTTTAATACCAACGAACCTCTATAATGAGAGTAATATAATTTCATGGTTAGGTTTATTAATATATCAGAATTCTACATACATTTTTGAATATTTTAAATTATTTACCCCTAGTCAATCTTGATTCAATTTACTGGTTAAGACATAAGCAAAACCACAATCATTCAGAAAATAATTGACCAAGTCTAAAGTTGACTTCAGAGTTACTCTTGAATCTTTTGCTGTATTGTTTTGTTTCTTATAATTGCAGATTTTTATGCCGATTGATCAGTGTCATGCCAGAAGATAAACAATATTCTTGTAGATTTAGTTTTAGAAGGCAAATTAAGGGTAACATTTATTGTAATATTTGTACAAATAAAACTAGTAAAATATTTTTTGACTATTTCAGTACATTAAAAACACTAAGTGTTCAGCTGGAGATTTTGCTAAAATATTATAAAACTATGATGTATCTACTGTACCAAAATTAATACTGTTTCGTTATGGTGGATAAAAAAAATCCAAACACTGGTACTTTTAAATTTATCAATAGCTAAAATGTAGAAATATTTTATTTATTGTTTATTTACATGTTTAGCTAACTGAAGATGACAAAACAAATCAAAGTCATCTTTAAATTCTGCTCCCATTTTGCTTTTTGTGGAAGGATCAAAGTCTGAGCCAAATATAAGTTCAGTACAACAATTGTAAATTTACTTAACGAAATTGGTGCCAAATTTAGTACATTTGATATACCACAAGATCAAGTTGTTTGAGAAAAATTAAATACTTATTCCAATTGGCCAACATATCCACAGGTAAATATAGCAAATTAAAAAAGTATTGCAACAAACAATTCAAACCTTATGGTAACATTCCTTAAACGAAAGTTGTGTGAAAAACATTAATTTGTCCTATATTTATATTTTGAATATATTATTTTTAGTAAAAATAATAAGAAAAATATATTTGTTCTATTAAAACAAACTATATTTTTCTTTAACTACAAATTCTTTCAATAACCATCAATGTTATTATTTCACATCTACCAGCGGTCCCAAGACGGATTACTTTTTTTTTTGTTATACATTTCTTTATATTTGAACAGTGTCAACAAATTGTATGATCTTTCTATACTCTGTTCAAAATAAGAATAGGTCTATATGGCTTGGTTCTGCTCATGGGCAAGGGCTTCGTTTCAAAGCACTGGCCTCACCCGTCGACTTGGTACTGGAAGTGTCTGATTGGAGCCAACAAAAACTGGTTGACGCCGATGTATGTTCTTATGTTAAACAGAGTATAAGTAGTTTTTGTAAATGTTATGTTCACTACTTTATACAGTATACAAATTACAAATCTTAATGCTAACATAATGGCAAATATATTTCTGTATGCTAAATCTTGTTTTTCTTAAGTCGTACATTTATTGTACATTTCATATGTTATTGGCTACAAGTTACTTGCCTACTGCCTACGTATTTTGTAGATTTCATTTAATATAATTGCATAATTATTTCTAGGTATTATGTATCGACAAGACCACAAAGAATTAAAACCATTGAAAAAACCAACTTAAACTCTCATGCTATCTGCAACAATCACATTCAAACCTCCCTAACCCAAATCATGTAAGTTCTGTATAGTGTTAAAATTCCTATAATGTATCACTTATTGGTAGTGACCAATGATTCATTGTTCAATTTTATTGTAATAGTAAATGGTGATAAAATTATTAATTCATAATACCTACTAAAAAGTTTATTGCCGGGTTGCATGAAAAATGTATTGATTTAATGTCAATACAATTTAATGGGCTAACCATAGGCCACTAAATCATGTTTAAGAGGATTCTACCCACATGTTTGTTGTCTCCGTCTTACCAACTTACGGCATAAATGTTTGTATAGTATGCTGTGAGTTTTGATATTAGAGTGAATTTAAATATTATCAAACTTTTAGGTAAGAACATTATCTTTACTTAAGCATCGGCGGTTTTTCAATATTTTCATTTTCAAGCAAGATACGATTATGTGAAATATCAAATCAAAAATGCTCATATCTTGTTTTAAAATTAAAATATCCAAAAATCCACCGACGTTTAAGCATATATAATGTTCTTACCTAAAAGTTTGATAATACTTAAATTCACTCTAATATCAAAACTAACGGCACACTATGGAAACTAGTGAACAAAATTGTTCTATGTCGTACTTGTGTATAAGACGAAGACAACAAATGCATGGGTAGCGTCCTCTTAATAGGGACTATTAGCTCACTATTTGTTTGTTAAATGTCTAGTGATAACTCGGCATTTATGTTTATATATTTTCTTTCTCCATAAGGCATAGATAATGATAAATTATACAAGTGTACACTTTAAGTTCACTACTAAAACAAAGGATGTTTACTAAATTATATTGAAACAAACTATGTGTTGAGCTTGAGGCTATGAATAATATTGATTGATTGGGTTTTCGCATTGATTTTTAATGTAATATTGAGTCATTAATATAATTTTCAAAATATTTTAATTGTATTTTTTTTTTCAATTTTAGTCAGCAAGATACATTAACTGACGTAAGAATGTGTATCCAGGCCAATTAGGATATTATTCTGTTTGGAAAAACATCTTCTGAAAAAACAATTCCTACTAACATAATTGTTTATCCGAGGTAATCTAGAAGAGTTTATATTTTACTAAATCACTATACTGTGTCACTTTATTGTTATAAAAGTTATTTTTTCAATATTACCTAAATTATTTTAGTCAGTATATTATGGTCTTAAGCACTGGGAATCAATGCAAATACACAATTATTTGATACTGCTATTAATTGTGTTCATAATTATTTAAGTTTTAATTTAACCAAATGAATTTTTTCATTACATTGTTACATAGTTAAGACTGGAGATTAAAATAATACTTTATATTTTACAATACTCTACACCAGTGGTTCTCAACCTGTGTGCCGTGATATTGAATCGGTGTGAGAAATGTTATATGTGTAGATACTAGATAACTACTGTCTGTTGTCGAAGATGCTGTGGTTGTCAATTGTGCGAGTGTGCCGTGAAAACTTGTGATGTATGATAGTATGCCGTGAACCATAAAAGGTTGAGAACCGCTGTTCTACATTTTATTCAAGAAAAAAGAAATAATATAAATTTTTATGTTCAATCAATATTTAATACCTTATGTTAACATCCATTTAATTTGGAATGGATTATAATCTAAAGTGAAGTGTATTTTACATTGTACCCTCTTACATACATCTTTAGTTTCATATGTTTAACTATATATTTTATAATTCATGTGTACCTATACTATTTTCTATATTTGTATTGGTTTGCTCTTCCAGGCGTTATCATAATTAATTAATAAATAATACTTCATAAGTGATGGTTATTTTACACTTTGATGTATGTATGCTTACGTTTATAATTTGTATGTGATTTTTGTTTTTTTTTTTTTGTTAGTGTCTGCAAAGGAGAGCTTCCAGATAAACTAGAATAATAGTGACTATAATAACATAGACTACTCAATAGAGATGTGTTGATCAAACTAGTTGAATTGAACGATTTGCTATAAAGTACTATTGAGAGTACTATACTATTCAGAACTGAATCTATTTCAAATTGAAATCTTTGACATGGATTCGTCAAACACGGCGGTTATGTTGACTTTATATTCTTATAATAAGGTCTTATAATCTCAGAGGTGTAGCAAGATTCATCAGGGTTTTTTGCCATTTAACAAACTTTCTACCTTGTACATTTCTTCACACTCCTCCACTATAGACATTCACAAACATACATATACAAATGTATACATCAATTATTTTATTCTATTTTTAAACAAGTAATAATAATTATATTAATAGAAATATTCACTACATTAATAATTATTACTTATTAGTTATTAACATAAGTAAATTTAAATTATAGTCAATAACTGTTTTTGACGAAATATTTGCTACCAACAAAGTTTTAGTTATATTACATTTTCTATAAGCTAAGTATACAAACATTATTTGTTTTTATTTTTGGAAATATTCGTCTTCAAGTTAGATAAAGATAGTCATTTTGTTAATAACAGTTCACTTCAGCTACTTTTGACAGTTGATGTACAAAAACGTACTGTTTTATAAAACTAAATTACCTTATCATCCCACAAATAAATAAATAAATAAACATTTTAAAAAAACAAACAAACAAATTTTATATTTTTTTGAACTTTTTTTTTAATAGTTTTAAGTTTTACTATTACAGCTCCACAATTATATAAAACAACATGACTGGTAACAATAAAATATTTAAAAGAAATACAAAAAATTAGAACAGCAATTAATTTAAAAGTAAATTATATGATAAAACCAGCCTCCAAAATAAAATTAATAATTATATTTACGACTATTTCAGAATTGGAGTTGAGGATGGAGTAGAGATTAAGGGGGACATTGATGGATTTAAGGGAATTAAACAAAATAACATGTTTCGCATGGAGAGAAGGGCAATCAAAGAGAAGGCGACGGAGATCGATTTTTTTTTGAACTTTATTATTGTTTTATAATAATTAAACTATACATTAAATAATTGAAATTTGTCTTAATTATAGATAGGCATTATAAAATAAAATAAAAAACTTAAAATATAACTTAATGAATCAATTTTTATTTTCAATATGCTAAAATATTTTTTAGAAAATACAATTTCCCTAAGTGATTGATTCGCCCAACTTAAAGATTAAATTATAACATATCACTGTCCAGCCAGTTTTTTGGTTTAAACCTGGTTTTATTTTGTATTCAAACCTAGTTTGCAAGCATACAACTTATATCAATATATGAACTAGAAATAATTAATTTAATTTAATTTTGTATTATTATAATCAGAAAGAACTCTTAGATAAAGAACCTTAGATATGAATAATGATTCAATTAAAAGAACTTGTCATGGAGCACAAACAAATGAACAAGTTATGATTCAATGGTTCACTGAACAGTCTGAACCAGTTCATTTAATTGAAAGATAAATCACTGAATCAGTTCATCAAAATAAATACGTCCCATCTATACCATCTAGACTACTCACAATGTATTATTCAGTACATACATGTAAGGTTATATTTTGTTGATTTAATGTATAGTTGAATGTTTTTTTTTTACTTGTATTGAATGACAAGTCTTAACGATAAAATATATATAATTTTTTCTTATAGATGTATAAAATCACAGTTTTATAATAATTTATATATTACCCATGTTGCAAATGTTTGATAATGGAGAAATTTGGACGGTCTGTTTGCTAAATGAAGCTGCGAACGTTTGCAATGTTAACCTAACGAAAATTTATATTTTATACACAATTATTATAACTATTTTTTTAAATTTAAACCGCATAGTTTTTAGCCGAGTTAGCCTGGATTTTTACATTCATGTTTATATTGTTACAGATACATTTGTACTTCATTCCCATCCTTTATCATAAAACTTTTTAAGTAACATGCATTTTTTTTAGTTAACAATTAATTTTTTATTATTAAACCCATATGGTGTAAGTTTTACACTTTTCAATGTCAAAGCAAATTTGTGATATAATGCATAAGAAAAACAAGTATATGTATATTTAATATTTATATACATTATACTTTTATAATTATATTTTATAGTTGTATATTACCCTATCAAGTATATTATATTATGTGCAATACATGTCAATTGAATTTGGGTTTGATTGTTTTAGTATTAAATACGCCTACATGAATATAAAACTTAAACCTAATAATTTATTTAGTGATGATATATAAATGTAAGTCTTATATTTTAACAGTTTTGTATTATATTTAATGTTCATAATTGTAATTTTCTGTTAAAAAAAAACAAATACAAATTTTAGAATTAATTGTCTTACCTAATTTAGATATTAAATAGAGCAATGTTGTACTGCGCATAAATTCAAATCCACCATTGTGAATATAAAATTAAGGATTAATTAATTAATTAGTATTAAAATGTAAATTAATAACATTCGAATGAAATATGTACGCAAATAAAGATATTTTCATTTTCTGATAATATTTTAATGATTCGAAATTTTTCTATTTACATAATATATTTGAAGGTTTTTATTTAAATTGAATAAATATTGTATTTGTTATATTATTTTACCTACAAATATACATTATACTATATCCACGAGAATTTGGACGAGTTACTCGATTCAAAGTATTAATTAACAGTGGAGTAGCCAGAAAACTGGTGGTCCCCCATCACTTCGACCAGTGACCATTAAAAATAAAAATAAAAATATTGATCAGTATCTTAAGGAGACGACGCCGGACGACGTACAAATGTCAAATCGCAATACATATTAATCAATTGATTGTAGATCAGTGAAGACTATAAGATAGTGGCTGCCTTAGAAATAATAACCATAGCATGTGCACCAATAACTGCGTACTTACAAGTTTTGATAATTTATTTTTATACCTATACCTAGCCGTTAAAAAACAATGACGTATGTAATTAGATACGATACTATACAAAAAATAAATGCACAACTGTATATTTTGTTCATATTTCAAAACAAATTATATTCAACATAAATATAATTTAAATAATAAAAAAAAAATTTCAATATTTATTTGTAATGTAAAAATAAAGGTCCTGCTGCAGTGGCCCCGAATGGATACGGTCTTGCTAATAAGTTAGGCACCTAAATTATACTAAAATACATTGACAGTTTTCAACTAGGTACTTACAACTTAGGTATGAGTTACAGTTACAGTGATATACTGAACTAAAGTTAAATATTTATAGAACTTGTAAGCATCAGATGTTCGTGAGAAAAGTATATGATATATATATGTTATAAGCTTATAATTTATAACTAAAATGAAAAGGTGCTTAAATTAGAATCAATAAACATAGTTAACGTCAAGATAGTACCTACAACATAAGTTTTATGCTGAAAAGATCGTCCAAAATATGCTTGCAGTAGAATCGTCCTGATATCGTACAAATCTTATAATTTGTATACACTTTTATTTTTCTGGAGCCCAAATCCACATCGTGCCTCACTCAAAATTACAAATTTTGAATCTTTGATATCCTTTGATATCCTTTCGATCAAAATTTGTCTGGAAAACATACATTTTGATGTTCTATGTGCAAATTTACCTTGATATCGTATATTATTATAAGTACTATTTTATGTGAGGTGCTAAATTAGATGTGTGCTATCAATTAAGGAGGATATTTATTTGTTATGACCATTAATGAGATAATTAGTTATTGATGATCGGTGGAGTACGATTGCGCGCGTTTTACCTTTTTTTTTTACGTTTTACGTTTTACTTTTTGGGCATACGATTGCGCGCGGTGCCGGAATAACAAATAATCATGCTTTTGCCTATTCAAAAGCGTACGATTGCGCGTGAAATTGGATGCGACGTTGCCAAATTATTATTTAAATATAAAATAATTATTATTATAAAAAAAAAACAAATTTTTGACTAGCCCAGTGATATCTTCTAAATTCAATTTTTTAGGTCAAAAAATT